CTCTCTCTCTCTCTCTCTCTCTCCCCTTCCTGGGCCGGCGCTGTCTTCCTCTCTCCTCAGTCTCCTGGCACCAGCCTCATTCTCTTTACTACCTCACCCAGCAGCACTGAAGCCACTGGGGCTGGCCGCTCTTTTATAGCGTTGATCGGCTGGTGCCTTGAGGCTGACGATATGCAAGGGAGAATGAATCAGCCATTGGGGCTGGTCGCTATTTTTTTATAGTGTTGACCAGCCTTGGCTGGCCTCAGCTTGCCTCCTTCGACGCCGACGGCCTGGATTTATCTCGATCTGAATGGCCCAGATTTGCTGCCGGCCTCAATGTGCCTGGACCCAGTAGATACTGATCAACATTCTTAAGGGCATTGGGCCCCGCCGTGCACGAATGACCTCGAACCAGCACCCTCAGCCACAGGAACGAAGTCTCGTATCCACTACAACGCTTGGAGGTGTTACAAAAACTAGATCCACGCCGGTCATGATATCCAGCCCACCCCCACAGCTCTAATCTTCCCGAACAAATGCAGACAGCCTTTGATTGTGCATCTGATCTATGGCCATGGTTGGTCGAGTGCTGAAATCTTCGACTCTCTTTGTCTGCTAGGGTCTGCTTTTCCCGAGTTGGGACTCACTCTTGATTTTCCAAGAGTCAACTGTCTGCCTCATTTGACTCTGGGCCCTATACAGGCTATACCGCCAGAACTCATTGGGCATGGTTTGCCTCATTTGACTCTGGGCCCTATACAGGCTATACCCTTTCACCGTACGACTTTCCTCAGACCTCGCTATATAGGTAGATATGCGACTTTTGACCCCTGACTTTTGACTTGGACCAGAAGTTACGACCCTGAATTTTGACTTTGACCAAAAGTCACAACCCTGAACTTTGACTTTGACCAAAAGTTACAACCCTGAACTTCGACTCTGACCAAAAGTTACGACCCTGAATTTTGACTTTGACCAAAACTTACGACCCTGGATATTGACTTTGACCGAGAGTTATGGCCCTGAATTTTGACTTTGGCCAAAAGTTACGACCTCTGATTTGTTTGAACTGGACTTTGACTTTGACCAAAAGTTACGAGCTCTGGATTTGAACTGAACTTTGACTTTGACCAAACGTTACAACCTCTGAATTTGAACTGAATTTTGACTTCGACCTCAGTGGTGTGTGGATTTGAACTGAGTTCATTGCACACCACTACCTTTCACGGGCAAACTTGAAACGTCCTAAGAATGCGGTACAACCTGTACCGCATTCTCATTTGGAGGCCCGGCGCCACCAGACCAAAATGGCTGACAGCACTGCTGTAACTCGTGTGCCAAAATTGAGCCGCTGGGCTCCGATTGCACCCTCAGACAAGCACGAACAGGCAGGCCCTGAAAAAAGGTCAAACAGGCCCTAGGAAGAGGCCCAGACCGACAGTCGACCGAAATGTCAACAGTCAAATCGTGGACCCAGGCCCAGATCCGAGAAGTCGAAGTCAACACATACTGGCCATCGATCTGGAATGATCTAACAGTGGTCTGCAGGTTCCGGAAGATTCAGGCCTCAAGGAGTTCAGACCGAAACTGGGACAAATTGCATCTGACCCGTCGACATTCGGACGATCCAGGGCCTCACATGGACAGAAGCTGACCCGGACAACGCAAGTCAAGACTATATAGAGTTGACTTCGCCACTGGTTGGACATTCAGTCTTGCAAGTTGCTTGCAGCTTCGATGCTGCACGTGAGACTCGAGAGGAGGATGCTGGCGCCAGGCTGTTCCATGGGCGCCAGCCAGATGCTGCAGTAGGAGAGGAGAGAGAGGGAAGGCAGCCATTGCTGTGACCATAGATGGCGGCGAGGTAGTGAGGAGAGAGAGAGAGAGAGAGAGAGAGAGAGAGAGAGAGAGAGAGAGAGAGAGAGAGAGAGAGAGAGTGGGCGAAATGTGATGTTGTGCGTGCGTACCTGGTCAAAGCTGATGTGATGCTGCCGCTGATTCTGCTCGCTGCTGAAGGATCGCTCGTCTGCGAGGGGCTGCGTTTTCATCATCCACGTGTCATACCGGGTACAGATTGCTGACGTGGCAGAGGTGGGGAAGCCTGGAGGAGAAGAGGGACTTGATTGATTCTTCTCCTTCCATCCATCTTTTCTTCCCCATCTCTGTTCTAGTCTGATTACTCATGACTTGGAGACTTTACACGTGGTAATGAAGGATCATGTACTCCAATGACTTCGAATCGATGGACTAGCTGGAATGATTATCTCGCCATTGCACGGCATTGCTATCTCACGACATTGACTGGGGTCATTACAGCACCAGCCAAAATCCAAAAAAGAAAAAGAAAAAGTCACACTGGCGCTTCAGCAAAGCTCGGCGCGCAGTTCTTTCCGCCTCGGCCAGCAAAAAGAGGCTCGGAGGTAGTGGTGCTTTAAATTATTTGCTGTATTAATACTTATAGCAACAAAATCCACTTGGCAGACATCAAGAGCCCACAGAGGCATGAATCGGAACAAACAGTCTGCCAGATGCACTCGCAGACATTGGTCTGCCTTGCAGTTATCGCAACAAGTACACGCTATCGATTTTTCAAACTGCTTTGCGTACATCGACAAATTGAATGAACAAAAAAAAGATAAATGCAAGGCAACCAAACAGGAAAAAATACCCCCAACCCCCCCCCAACCCCCAACCCCCAAAAAAAAAATGATCGGTTTTCACAAAGCTCACCTGGCGTCTCAGAGCTGCTGCAGCAAAAAATACTTCTTTTCTGACTTCTTCTTTTTTCCCTCTTCTGAGTACCGCTCTCCGTTTCAAACGCCAAACCTCCTGACGACGTGTGCCTTTTCGCAACTGCAAAGGATGCAGTCGGTAAGTTGCTGTGCCCTGCAAAAGAAACAGACAATATATATCTAATATAAAATTCAATAATAATTGTATATTTCATAATACAGCACAAGAAAATGCCCTTTGGGAAATAAACGGAAAGAAGTCACTCCTGCTTCTTCTTCTGCTTCTTCTTCTTCTTCTTCTTCTTCTTCTTGGGCGTACACACTCGCAACAGGAAAAAAAAGTCGATTACGTGTGAAGAGCAATTTGTTTGGCCATTGCTTACCTTCTTCTTCTTCTTCTTCTTCTTCTTCTTCTTCTTCCTGTTGGGTGGGGGGGATAATTTGCAAAATACCCCCAGAAGTTGAGCTACATGACAAAACGCCCCTGACAAAAAGAATATTTTGTGAAATACACTTGGCGTCGATGGAACCCCATCTTTGCAATATACCCCTACCCGGTACCCATCTTGGCAATATACCCCTACCCGGTACCGTCCAAGTTTGTAAAATGCCCCAGTACTTGCAAACTTTTCCTAGGCGCGATTGCAAAAGAGGAGGTCCAGATTGCAAAGTTGCACACCTGCCTGACAGGGGCACAACACAAAGATTTCGGCCCAAAAGGGCATTCCGCTCTACTCACATCTTTCAGGGGCATTTTGGCATATATCTCAATATATGGGGGTATTTTGCAAATTGTCCCTTTTTTCTCTTCTTTTTTTTCTTTTTTTCAACTCACACCGGCTTCACACCACTCTTGAGTGTGTACGTCATCACACACGATATGAGAACTGCGGGAAATTATTTCAAGACTCGAGCTAATACATGAAAACTCGAAAAGTCCTCTGAACTGAGCCCCCTATGCCTGCCGTCAAAAACAAACAAACAGCTCTCTCTCTCTCTCTCTCTCTCTCTCTCTCTCTCTCTCTCTCTCTCTCTCTCTCTCTCTGCCTGCTACCCTCAGGCCTCGCTATCCCCCTCTAAATGTTTTCCCTCTCTCTTAGCATCTTCTCTCTCCTACCTCCCTCAAAACAAACATCTCTCTCTCTCTCTCTCTCTCTCTCTCTCTCTCTCTCTCTCTCTCTCTCTCTCTCTCTCTCTCTCTTCTATGCTACCCTCAGGCCTCGCTAACCCCCTCTAAATGTCATCGCTTCCCTCTCTCTCCTACCTGCTAACCCTACTCTCTCCTCCCTCCTCCGTGGCTTGGTCGCACAATAACGCAGCAGAAGCGCTTCTGCAGCAGACACTACTGGAATGGTGTTGACGCTGCCTGCGACTTCATTTTTGCACGCACTGGCGTTCCCGAGTTCCAAAAATAGACTTTGCGCAGTTCCAGTAAACCGTCGGCAGAGAGGGAGGGGAGGGAGGGGAGGGAGGGGAGGGAGGGGAGGGAGGGGCTGTGACAAACTGTTTCGTCGGAGTTTCACCGACTGACTCATGAATCAGTAGAGGCTGAACCCTCAAGAACAGTCTGCAGAATCCCTTGTTAAGTGATTACCGCACGAAGAATAGTGAACGACAAGACAAACAGTGTCCAAACTGCTTTCCGCACGTCGTGCTTCCCCAACTCCGCACGTGCAAGAAGAAGAAGAAGAAGAAGAGGACGAAGAACAGAGGCTCTGTCGCAGAGAGAGAGAGAGAGAGAGAGAAAGCCCTTTGACATCGCGGCTTGGTCATGGCATAGTGATGAGCATCCACTGTCATCACTCAAAGTAACATCCAATCACCTAATAGCGGCTATCACGTCTGATACGAAAATGTCATATCATCCACCAATCAGGATGATGGTGGTAATAAATTAAAAATAAAAATAAAAAAAATTGATGGTGGTCCTTTTTTTTCTTTTTAACAACAGTCAGGATGATGGTGGTAAAAAACAAAAAAAAAGGGGATGATGATGATGATGATGACGATGTTGTGGTGATTGATGATGATATAGACATTGATGATGAGGAGAGGCAGGGGACGGGAGGGGGGGGGGCTCTTATACACATCTAGATGTGTATAAGAGACAGCTCAAAACTTGTGCGCATGCGGATCTTTCGGTCCAGATTGCAAAGTTGCACACCCGCCTGACAGGGACAACACAAAGATTTCGGCCCAAAAGGGCATTCCGCTCTACTCACATCTTTCAGGGGCATTTTGGCATATATCTCAATATATGGGGGTATTTTGC